GGGGCGGGAGCGCGTCCCGGCCCTTTCCGCGCTGGGGAGCTGGCTCTGGCGGAGGTGCGGCGGAAGCATAACACGACGCTGAAGCTGCTGTGCCGACTGGCGGCGGGTTCGGTGTTGACCAGCCCCGGCGGCCTTCTGCCCCACCGCGACATCATCGGGCAGCTGCCGGGGCAGGTGCTGTGCACGTCGGCCGGGGCGCGGCTGCTGCTGAGGCGGCCCTCGTTGGAGGAGTACGTGCTGCTGATGCCGCGGGGGCCCACCATCGCCTACCCCAAGGTAGTGGCTGCTCACCGGGCTGGCTGGTGACTGGGAGTCCTTAGTTTCTAAGACTAGTAACGTGTCGTGTTTTTCTCACCCGCAGGATATAAGTGCTATGTTAATGATGATGGATATCCACCCGGGAGACACCGTCTTGGAAACCGGCAGCGGGTCTGGCGCTATGAGCTTGTTTCTGTCAAGAGCAGGTGAGAACCTGGTTTTAGAAAATATAGAAGCAGCGCGATTCCCTTATCGTATATTGCCTTTCTTTTGACCAAATACTTACGGTCAATTCTTAAAAAGTTTTGCTGTAGTTCACATGTTCATATACAGTTTGGTGACTTAAAGGAAAATTACACCTGTGCCAGAGCCAGTGCAGGGACTGCAAACTGTTTTGACTGTAGTTCAAGGGCTGTAGTACAAAGGGTTACCGAAGGCCCTGCAGAAAGCTGAGTTTCAGCCATCATTATTGTTGGCTTTGGCTCATCCATACTAGATTCTTTCTCCAATCTCTTGCCTTTCTCAGTTTCCTTTTCCTCATCTTGATGGACCACGTGAATAATCAGATTGCTGGGTACCAGAGAAAATGCTTATGTGGATGTGCACTGTTATTTTTTCATGTTACAGCTAGCCTGGTTTGATCTAGGTCTCAGTGCTCTAAAAGGTAGAGAGCCTTTGCACTCAGCAATGTGAGTGAGGGTGAAACCTCACCCTTAAGCTTCATCTCATCTGTAGGTATCCTGTTAGTGGACCACATTTCAGAGTAATTTGATTTATGGGCTCCGGATAGAACAACTTCCTTAAGGAAAGAAAAACCCAAACCAAAACCCCACAGTTGCTTGCTGTAACTGCTTTTGCAGACACCTAAAAAATAAAGCACCAGTTGAATTTGGTTTTCAAATTGTTTCTTTTCTTTAATGTATTTCTGCTATTGCAGAATACTGCCCTTCTCTGCAATGTTAAAGGACTTTTGAGTGTAAAGACGGGAACGTCATCATGGACCATCTTGAACTGATACAGCGGAAAAGCACGAGTGGCATATCCTGAAGGCTTATGTTCAAAGCCAGGGTTTGTGGGCGACCCACCGTCAGAGTAACTGAATACCTGAGGGTGCCAGCAGTGGTTACTGAACCTGAGAAGCACCCCATATCCTGAGCTTCTGTGAAACCTCAGCACTAACATTTCTTTTTTACTATTTTCCAATGTGTGTTATAAAGCATTGTTATAGACTATGCTGCCTTTGTGATTGTATCGTTACAGTTCAAGGCAGAAGACATTTCAGTACTCCCACTTAGAGCCAGCCAAGTATCTATGGGAGGTGACACTTCCTCTTGCACTCTTGTGAGGAGACAAACTGAACAAAAAGCTGCTCTTTTTGTTCAAGTCCATTAAGTAACCTTAGAACTGGAGGGCAGCGAATTAGCTTTCTCTTACTCTCCCACGTAGCAATGCTGTCCTTTGGCACGTGCTCCAGGATAACAATACAAGGCTTTTTAGAAGCAAGAGCTTTTCTGAGGAAGTTTAGTATTCAGCAAGTATGTTACCAGTGCCATTGATTCAACCCCACTCTGGGATGCCAGGTCATACTGCTGAGGGTAGCATGAGGAATTAGGAATGGTTACACTCAGTAAATGGTACAAACTAGAGTGCCGAGATCCATCAGGAGCTTAAAATTGGCGAGGGCATGTAAGCAGCAGCAAAGGGAATCTGAAGGGTACCATACTGAGATGAACAGAGCAGTTTGTTCTTCTTAATCCTTTGTTTTAGCTGCAGTAATCTCTGCCTGGCATACTAATTCAGTTGAAAACACTTACTTTAATGATCAGCCATTAAATGCTGCCCCAAGATCACTCGGCTGCCGGTGGTCTTGATATACGTTGGGCCCAGGTTTTGAGGTCAGCAGTTGCACCTCTGCTCCTGCTCCCTCTGCCTCCTACTGCTATTCCTTAGTTCATTCCGATCATCTTTCTGCAATAAACTAGGGTTTTTTTGTAGTTCCAGGATGGGATTTTGCAGATAGTATGGGATTATCCTCAAGGCAGCCATTGCTGCGGTGGGAGCTAGAAGCTGACAAAACAGAAGATGAAAGTCAGCACTTCTGTTTCCAGAGATGCATTTGGAGAGAGGGAGAGTAAGAGTCATTAGCTTTTCCCATCTTCCCCTACAGGCGGACCCTAAATCCAAAGAAAGAGATTGAATACCAGATGTTGGCTAAGGCAAAAGTTAGCTTTTGCTAAATACAGCAAATTATGTTCTGCCTTGGGTATTCAGTCCACTGCGGCCATTTCATACAAACACGCCTGGACTTACCGAGTATTCCTCTCCTTTTTCAGTCTTGTCCAATAGGTTCCTTCCGATCACTTTAATTTAGCTGTAACTGTGCCAAATCAGCAAAATCCTTGGCATCACCAGGCTGTTAACCCTATCCATGGGAAGAAAGCAGTCCTTGTGTGCCAGTTCAGTTCTATCTTGAGGAGAGGGAAAAAGGTATGAGATTGTATTGTTATTTTCAAGTTTCTTGAACTTAAATCAACACCAAATAGGGACGGTGTTAGTCACAGCTTAACACAATTTGGTGCTGACCCAGAAATAAATAGATTTGATTTTTCCTAATGGTGGCTGATTTGGCACCATTTAATACAGTGATACCCAACAAGAAAAAATAGCTGCTACACAGGTAAATGCTGGAATTTAAATCTAGTGGGCACATTACCAAGGTCCATGGAACTATTTAATTTCCCAAATTCTCATTGATTTAACGGAATTTGTTCATCTCCTCTCTTCGTGTTGCTCTCAGTTTATGTTTTATTTTCCGTTCCTTCTTTAATCTTTCCCAGAAAATACTGACATGCAACAGGACAAAGTTAAGACTGTGGCATTTGCCATGACTTTAAGATCTTTGAGAACTGGAAAATATGATGTATGCAAACTTGACATACTGCAGCTTCATAATAATGAAGAGTTTTGCCTAGCTATTTTAACTAGTTGTTCTTATTTTCCAGAAATCAGTTTCAAAATGTAGGAAATTTTTGGAGTGAGCAGAGCAAGGAATAAGACTGACCCCAATGCAAACAATTTCATTCTTCTAGTGGTTCCAAACTGATAATCTTGAGTAATGAGTTGATGCTGCGATTCTACAACTGCTTAAGGTGATCAAAGGCGACACTGCTGAAACCCTCCCTCCTTACGTGTTGGCTCTGGCCCCGGTCTGATCCAGGGTGAGCTAGATTAGGGAGAGACTGTCGGGAAACCCACCCCTCCCCTGTTCAGTTTTCTGAATGGATTCACAGTGGGATCCAATAGGTGAGGGAAGGAGCCTGGTGACTCCAACCTACAATGGCTTAAGAAGTCACAGAACCTCACCTGCTGAGCTGCTGATTGCTGAAAGCTGCCTTCACCCATTAAAAGATAGTAAGGAGAAGCTAATGGTGTGATAGGTGTGAGAAATTAGAGTAATACAAGCATAGAATAAGACAGCAATGCACATGCGTGTCTTTGCCTGGATATCCTGGTAACACTTCCTTTATGAAGAATATTGTGTATTGGACTCATATGGTATTTTCAGGATAGTAAATTTATACTTAAGTAATAAAATAATTTATTACAGTTACAAACAGTAACAGGAAAATAACACAAGCCTGCGTAAATCAAAGAGTACGCTCGAAGATTTGTCTATGGGGCTGAGATCAGTGGGGGGTTTTCTTAGCCCTTCCCCAACCCTAAGAAGGGACACCTTGGGAACAGTTTGTACTACTATAACTATGCTTTGGTCCATCTGCGGATTGATGGACTTTGGTCTGTGAAAGAACTAACCCAGCACTTTATCTGCATATATTTGTTTTAAATGTAAAGAAAAAATAAACTGTAATTGATCACTTCATGTGTGATTATTTCCTAAAGTGAAGTTGAGATTTAAAGGTGTACTTCTGTTACTTACTTTGCTACTTTTTTCTAAATTCTTTATTACGGGAGGGGGTCGGGGGAAGTAGTAAGTCTAGTATCTTTTGTCTATTTTCAGTTGGGCCCAAAGGGCGTGTTATAAGTTATGAAATCAGAGATGATCATCATAATTTAGCTAAGAAGAATTACAGGCACTGGCGTGCTGCATGGGAAATAGGACATATGGAAGAGTGGCCAGATAACGTGGATTTCATTCTTAAAGACATTTCGCTGCGGATATGAAATCTATAACGCTTGATGCAGTAAGTCGTAAGTCTCCCCACATTTAACATTTATCTTTTCTGCATAAATTAAAACCTCTAGTGCTCACACTGACAATGGGATTCGCATATATAACGCTTGATGCAGTAAGTCTAGAAAATCCCCACATTTAACATTTATCTTTTCTGCATAAATTAAAACCTCTAGTGCTCACACTGACAATGGGATTCGCATATCTAGTTTAACATGAGAAAAAACAATCAGATCTTCATTGGTGAAAGAAACATTGTGATTTTTTTTTTTTTGGTCAGATTACAAGTATTTTCAAGGTTTCAGGTACAGGTTCCCAAATGAAAGAGCGATAATGGCTGTAGCATAGAAATATTACAATTAAACACTGCTGTCTCGTAAGCAAAGACAAACTTACTTTCTTGTATTTTTGTATCTAAGGCATATATTTCAAACATTAAGAATACATAAGCTTATTGAAAATATAAACACGTAAACACTTTGCTATCAGCTATATAGAACACACAATGTAACTAAGGCCTAAGTTAAAGTTAGAGTAAAGAATGCTCCTGCTTGCTCTCCTGTCCTGCTTTTTATATCCAGATTTTGTAAAGGGAGACGCACTGGGGAAAACAGCTAGATGTTAACCACTCTTCTGTGTAAAGCAGACAAACCACTTACATTAACGCTTTAAACAAACGACAGTTGTGTTAAACGGTTTGAGGAAAGAAATTAAATGTATAGCATAAAACCAGCATTTTTTTAAGCTTGAAAAGTAACATCTACAGGAAGGATCAGGTGTTGCATATCCCATTGTTTTACAGGTTAAATAGTTTTCGAGCAGAAGATGGATAAATTGCCAAAGACAGAAGTTTTCTAAATCCTGAAACAGACAGCAAGTTAAACATTGAGGCTGTAGTGTGATCTTTTCCTAATAAAGATGCACTTGGAACTTTTTTTTTTTTTGACATTTGAAAACTAAGTATCCAAAGGTGCTAGTAAATGTAGTCTTCCAAAAATTGTTACTAATGTCAGCATTATGGAATTTAATTAGTAGGAGGTTTAACGTTAACACAGGACTACTATGTTGGTGAAATGCTACTTGCTGTTTTAATAGAAATTCAGTTGGAAGTAGCAAGGACTTTGTTCTGTAGATGTGTGGACCTCAGGTTTCTCTAAGGTTTTGAGAGGCAGTAATAAAACTGGTTTGTGATTACATACTGCTGTGTATGCATTCATTTTCCATAGATAAACATTGTTTTTTCAAGCATTGTTGTTACAGAAAAAAATTGATAGATATATTAATACTTACTGGGAAAACATATGTATCTTTCTCTTGCAGATAGTTCTGGATATGCTTAACCCTCAGTCTGCTCTGCCTGTCGTACACCCAAGTCTGAAACAGGGTGGTGTGTGTGCTGTGTATTTAGCAAAGTAAGTATTTACTTCTGATGCTTACACATTTATTCAGGCATCACCTAGCACTGTTACAAAACCAAACATCTTTTCATTAATGCTGGATGTATATTTTAAATGTTTAACGAAATTCCCCCCCCCCCCATGTAATTTTTTTTAGGGAGTTGCACTCAGTATAGATTACACTTGGCTGAATCCTTTGGCTTTTACTTTGGGAACGCTCTCATGGTCAGTGGAAGTTTTCACTTAATGACATCCTGAAAATAACTTCAGTTTTCCAATTCAGTAGTAGGGTTGCTAGCTCCTTTGCCCTAAAATGGAAGGGCTCGTGTAACCTCAAAGGTAAAGAATGCGACAAAGGCAGTAGAATTGAGACTAGCAGTGTATGATTTGAGTTTTTGAAATACTACTTCATCCTTTGCATTTCTTTAAAAGCATCACACAGGTTATTGACCTTTTAGACAGAATACGGACCTGCAAGCTCCCTTTTTTGTGCGAAAGGATCATTGAGGTAACTCATAGAAATTGGTTGGTACTCCCTGCTAAAATCAAGAATTGCAAATCAAGCCAAATGGTGGAAACTCAAGAAAATATTGAAGAACCACCTCAAAAGGAATATGAAGAAATCCACACTCAGGATCGAGTGGTTCTTAAAGAAAGTGAATACAATGGTAAGAACATCATTGCTGATGAGAGATCCTGTTACTGCAATTTGATAATCCAAGGATATAATGAAGGCAAAGTTTATAGGAAGAGGCAGTATTTTTTTCTTAGGTCAGCTGACATTGTTGTCAAGACTAGACAAGCTTCTGGACAGCCGAAGAAATCCACATTCAGGATCGAGTGGTTCTTAAAGAAAGTGAATACAATGGTAAGAACATCATTGCTGATGAGAGATCCTGTTACTGCAATTTGATAATCCAAGGATATAATGAAGGCAAAGTTTATAGGAAGAGGCAGTATTTTTTTCTTAGGTCAGCTGACATTGTTGTCAAGACTAGACAAGCTTCTGGACAGCCTAGACCTTGTCAGGTTTGGAAAAGGATATACTAACAGTTATTTAAATTTAAGTGTCTTACTAAAAATCTAGACTAAGTAGAAAATAAACTGCAATCTGCAAATAGAGAATGACTGCCCTTCTACTACTGTTTACAAATTATTTTTTTTTTTTTTTTAATATAAAATTCAGTCCTCTGTGCTCATCCTGTGCTGCTTTAGAGGACCCTGATGGGCTTAAGGATTCCACAGAAGAAACGTTACCAGTGTGGTCTGTTTTGTAATCCTGCTGTTCTGGCAAATCCAAAAAAGATGCCTCATACTAGTATAGATTTGCAAAATCCATAGTAGAGCAAAGAGGTCTGAATGTACTGATAGGTGACAACAAAGCACTTTAACAGAAGCAAAAAGAAAACGGAAACATGTCAAGGAAAAATAATCCATGCGCATTGGCAACTGTAGTCTGTGCGATTATGTTTTAAACTTGGAAAGAATTAAAAAAATCTACTTCTCACAGAATCACTTTCTGATGACGCTGAAACATACTGCTCGGTGCCTTACGTTGCTAGACCATCTTACTCGCAGGATGCTCATTCAGGTGAGACACTTGGAAAATTTTTTTTTTTCATCTTAAAAGTTTAGTGGTATTTTATTTTCAAAAATACTGGGTTTTTTACTAGTATTTGACATGTTACTATATCATGAAATCATAAAACCTATAGTAATAAACTAATCATTGTATATTGAAATACTGAAGTAGTAACTTGTTTTGTTTTTTAATTAGCATTCCTTACCAAGCTGAGAAAGTTTCGACCGCTGTTTTCTTGATGCTGCTGAGACCATAGCTGCTAATTTGAATGTTGTATCAGAATAAAATAAAATGTTACAAAGTAGCTGCTACATTTTACACGTTGTGTAACTTAAGTAATGACTGCTTTGATTTCTACCACATACAAAGTTTGAAATCCCACCTACTATTTAAAGGGAAGGGTTTTAACAGAATCATCAGGTGTGGTGTTGCTATGCAACAGCGATTGTTCCACAAAGCAAGGTATCTGTTTCTGTCTCATCGGGTGTGTTTCATTCTTCGTTGCTTGTAAACCAATCCATGGATTTGTCTTGGTTCAAGGTGCTACCTCGTCTCCTTTTGCTGGACAGGCTCTGACAGTCTACCAGAAATAAGGAGAAAAAAAACTTAGTAAGAAAATAACAGATCAAAGTCTGCCCTTTGAAATGCAAACGAAGCAGCTTCTGACTTCACTGGCTGCCAACTGGTGGCTATCAGTTTCTTTACGAAAGAATGTTCTTAAAGCACAACTGTAAAGAGAAACTGAAATTCACTGAATTTGTTCTCTTGATAAAGCTGTGCTAATTTCAAGAAAAAGACCAGTTGTTGACATGTATAGCTTTGGTTCACTTCCACCAGCCATGCTGAAAGTTGCCTGGTCATTTGTGAACTTTCTGTAAAACATTCTCAAATGGTCAAAATAAACACAATTTTTTCTGACCTTTGTCAGATATGAAAAGCGAGATCTCTCAAGTAAAAACAGATTTAAAATTAAGTCTTTTAGGGTCTCACGTAAGCCTCCACATAAGCACGTGGTGTGTTTAATGTTTAACACATTAAATTTATTAAATGACACATTGTAGCCACCTGACTTGTTCTGTATCTCAAGGAAGATTGAAATGCCAAATTTTTCAAAGTTGAGGGATCCCTTGAGAATCACAGTTGTACTGAAGCTGTCAAAAGCAGTAACACAATCCTACTATAATGGTGAAAATTTGCATATTAGTGAGAACATATGCAAATAAAAAATAGAGCTATAAATAACTGTAACCCTGGATTAAATAAGTATACTAAGAACTCCGCAGTGCTTAAGCACATGAAAGTATCTTTGCAGAACTGAGGCTTTATACAGTTCCCCCAGGAAGTTCACATCTCAAGTGTGTTCCACTCAATAATAAATTAAACAACGAGCATTTGCCCCATAACTGCTGTATGTAATGGAGGCTTCTCATGCAAAGGCTCAGGACGCTATTTTGAGCGGATTAATGTGCAAAGATTCAATTATGTAAAACAATTTTCACAATAAACTCCTGTATTGTTTTCTACTCGTACCCCAATCTTAAAAGGAAATCTTGTATAAGCTCTGTCAACAATTGAGACACACTTGAAGGAAAAAGTGAATTGTGATTTAATGGATGTCCAAACTGATGACAGCAACTGAGCAGCCTGCCCCTTCTAAAAACGGTGCTCTCAACAAGAGCACTTTAACTCGCATAACGCACACTCTAAAAGTTAAAAAGTCATGTGACAGACACCAGTATTTTTACTGTTTCTTCTAGCCAATCCTAAGCGTTTAAAACAGGATTCTCAATTTAATTTATAATGCAAGAATACTAATAAATGCCTAAATAGTCTGGAACGCAACCCAAAATCTACCGCAGTAGATGAAGGTAATTTGAAGAGACTCAGAATATAAAGCAGTTGGTACTTCCAGGAAGTCTTGGTACTTCCAGGAAGTCAAAAGGCAAGATGTGAAAATGAAACTATGGCAGTTCTGCCAAGGTAACTGCATTTGTAATAGGGACTTCTGCTAACGCAGAGAGATCGCGTCTGAGGCAAATACGGCCTCAGTTGCCTAAACTAATGGAAAATTATTTGCAATATTAAACCATACCTTGGCCATAATAAAAAGGAGAGTCAATGAGCATTTTTTCAGCTGGAAAGGTGTTCTTTGAATTCTGGGATGAACGTAATTCCATCATCTCCATAGTTCCAGTAGATGAGGAGGAAGATGATGATAATCCTAGTCGTACAAATCTTCCTTTCTTACCACAAAGCAGGCAGTCTGTAGGAGTAGCACTAGGTCCTCGGGGCAGCTGTACTTCATCATCGTAGTTTCTCACAGCTCCGCTGTGGTGCATAGAACGTTCTCGCTGCCATACATAATGTGTTGGAGCAATAGCCATCACCTATCAGAACAGCCGTTACATCAGAAACAGTAAAAATAATGGGAAAACATACAGCTGAAAACAAGGGATCCAGTTAATGTATGGCAGAGAAGTAATACTATGCAGCTGAAATGGGTATCATCTATTATCTACCTGCTTCTGTCTCACTAGAAAGTTTGCTACCTTAAGCATGAGTAAGTGAACCAGTTATGAAACAGATGTGGAAACACAACAGTTTACAGCCTTGTATATTCATGTGAATCATCACAAATACCAGCTTATGCTTTGTACGTTGGACTGAAGACGGTGTCTTTTACTAACTACTAAATATAAACTCAGTGGATCTTCTGGTTCACAACATCGCTGAACTAATGACCGTTGGAAGCTGGGAGGGTAAGCTGGGAAAAGCATCCTACGCTTGCCTTGTTCCTTGTACTTTTCCCATAAATGTCTAATCCCATCCCCAGAGATGGGATTCTAGAGTAAATGAGATTTTCTTTTCCACCAGCTGTAGTAAACATTATGTTCTTAGAACATGACAGGGCTTTTCCAGACAGATACATTCCACCTGAAAAGTGAGGAATGTCTTTTTTCCCCTCCTAATACGTTTGACGAATGTAGGTTGTAACACTGCATTAATAGTAGAGAATGTTAGAAGTGTGTCCTTCTGAGTTTTTTTTAAATGCAGTGAAATCCCCTTACCTTAAAAAGTCAACTGAAGTTGTATTATGAATTTTGAAGGGATTAAAATTTCACCTGAGGTGCTGGGATTTTTATTTGAAGGTTTTACTTGTGTACAGACTTATCATTTGTAAAGCAAACACAGACACAAAATTATTTCTAAAGTGAATGAAGTGAAACAACAGATG